AAATTACTCCCAAGTTATTAATTGACCTCCTTAATGTAATTGAATTTCTTCAATTATTAAAATGAAATTGTTATTTTATTTAATTAAATCTTGTTTATTTATTTTTTCATTTTGCGTATAGGAACTAGGAGATTTTGACAGAAAAGTTGCGATTACTATCAAAAATCTTTCGCCACATGTAACTCTTGAGAAACCGGAAGTTTATATAGATTCTGGTACATCAAATTATGGGCTTCCTATGAAACAACTAACGAGTGATAAAGGGTTAGTTTGGGGTGCTCGTAAGATTGCTGGCTTTACCGGAGGAACCGTAGGTGTCATTGTGTACCATCTTAAAGATCGTAATGAATCTTTGGCCTTCATGTGGAGCGTCCCATTTAACTACGGCTTTTACTCTAATTGGTGGAATTTAAAAGTTTTTAAAGGTCGTGTTAGAGCTAACCAAGGTAAGAATCCCTGGCTTTACTTACCCAAACTTATCATCACGATATTTATCTTTGTGTCATCGTTCTAGCATTATATGACAGGATGTATCATGAACTTCCCCATGAAGGTGACAATAACATCTATCGCGGAATTCTAAATTCTGACCTTCTATACTCGGGAACAATGGGTAATTCTGGCACCCCCACCATTGAAATTGAAATTATTAATTATGAAACTATTAGTACAGCTTCTTCTTCTGCTTCTGTTAGCGAGAAACGAAATCATTAAATAATTTCAAAAGTTTTCGAGAGTGAGGTTTCGGTTTAACCTTTTTTTTAAAAAAAAAAATAAATTTAAAAAAAGAATTTTTTTTTTCATTGAGGTATTGTGACCAGTTGTTATTTTGGGTAATTATATTTTACTGGTCTTCTCAACTTCGCTTCTTCTTTATTTCACACATTTATCATTTTACCTTTCAAACCCCAAGATTTGTATGATATTTAAAAAATGATTTTTGTAACTATGGGTCATAATTGTAGACGTAAAATTATTACATCGGAAGATTTTGAAGTGGAATTTTATTAAAGTTATCCTTATGTTTCAATTATTAAGGTACATACAATTTTTGCTAAATATATGCATATTTTATTCCATCAAAATAAGAAGTCTGTATTTGTTCGCATTACGTTTATTTCTGGATTTCATAAAATAATAACCGAAAGTGGCGTGTGAAAATATTGCTACACAAGCGAATTTTACATTAATACGTACGAATTAATTTATATATCCTAAAGGATGTAATACAAAATAATTTGATCTTTGAATTTTCTTAAAATAGTCAATCGTGTTGTTTTTAATATTTTTATTTAGCACAATAAAAGGTTTATAAATAATTTTTTGACGAACCAAAAATTTCAGTTTATGGTTAGATCTATTTCCAAATATAGATTAGACGTTTCTGTCATCTTTATACTTTGTCGTGTTTTATGTTAACATAAATAGAAGGCGGTTTTATTTTTAAAATACCCGACTTCAGAAAAATTTTTTTAATACTTTTTAAGATTTTTCCACCCATCAAACTTTCCTTTAATAAAATCGAATTCGATATCTGCCGATACCTCAGGGTTTTGCCATTCTTACCAATAAGATAGAAATGATAAAATTTTGTTCTTTAGATCTCAAGGGACAGATGAGTCTTTTTTTTTATTTGTTAAAATACTTTCTAATTTTTCTTTGGTTGCAATTATAGAATGATTTTATTTTTTTTTTCATTGTTTATTTTTGATAATTTTTTCGGATTCTTGAAGGAGGAATGGTCTGATTTGTTGTAGGCTTTTTTATTTTTTTTAATTTACAATATATTTCTCCTTTTCTTTTAGACGATAGTTTTTTAGGAATTTTTCAAGTTGGAGCATAATTAAGTTTTATATTTTAAATTTAAATCATTTTGTATTTTTATTTTTATTAGGCAAGTTGGATTGCTGTAATTATAAAATGGAGGGTTATTTTGTTATTTCTTTATCTTAATATTCGGTTTGCTTAATTTAGATGCAAACGCGGATGTATTTTTATTTTATTATAACTTTGTTTAGTTTGTTTAGTTTTCATTATGTTTCTATTTACTACCTTCATTTGTTCACTTTTTACCGTAGCAATCGAATATATTTCCGCTCTTTGATTTGAATTTTTCCCTAGGCTTTTGGATCACTTCAGCAATTTTATTTTTTTTTATTTTTATAACATATAAAATATAAAGCAATTCTGTGATAACGGGTCTTTGAGTCATGCCCTGGCCTCCCTAGTTAATTTCTAAAATAGGAACTTTTTTTTTTAAAAAAAAAAAATAAGTTATTTAGCTGGTGATTCAAATCCATTGTCATGATATGATCAAGATTAAGAATGAAAGAATTTACAAAAATTAATAAATATCTAAATTAATTACATTTTGGTAGAACCACCCAATTATTGAAAAAATGTACATGTTCACAGAGAATTGATGCATTAACCTCAATTTATAATGCCTTTTTTTTTTCATGATTATTGACTGATTTATTTTAATTTTTAATCATGTTTTTAAGTCTTAAACACATGCATAACCCGTCTAATTGCAATTGTATTCTCGAGTGATACCAGACCAGACTCTTCGCAGTATTACGTTATTTACTTATTACTCAGAATAAGGTGGTAAAAAAAACATTTTTATTTCATCATTATTCACTTTAATACTAAACTAAACAAGGGAGAAGGAACAAGTAATATTAGAACGATTTAATCGAAGTTGGAATACAGATACTTTTTCGGATTTCTTTTAAATTGGAATTCCAATTTCAGATACAACATGGAGTTTTTAACAGAACAGGACCATCCATGTGAAATTGGAGTGCAAAGAATTTTGGGACATATAATTTGTTATTTGAAGGAGTTTTGTCGAAATAATGTTGAACAGCAACTTGTTTTACGTCGCTAAAATCCATTGTTCGTTGTTTAATCAATGTTTCATAAAATTCAAGATAAAGAATCTTTCTCAATTCTTTATTGTTGTAAAACATCGCGATCTTGTTTTTGCTAAAGAAGGCGATGCGAATTCACTATCTGTTTATAAAACGTCGAAGAAAATGGATAACCAATTGAAAAAAATGTCTGAATTAAATAATTTTTAAATTTTGATGAAAAGACTAATAATGAAGAAATTGACAAAATATGTAAAAATATTTAAAAACGGCGGAACTTCAAACTTTCCTGCTCAAAATTTTTTTTTAAAAATAAGATAGCGTACATTATTATTCACGAAAACTATCACCAAATGTTTGTTTGAAACATACTTAGCATTAAAGGTTAACACATCATTATAATAAATTTTTAACTAATTATATTTAAATAAATTAATTATTATTATTAAATTGATTCAAGTAATACATCAAATAACAATCTATTTTGAATATTCTAATTATCTCAAATATATACTCATATACTCCTTTCATATAACAAAGAACAAAGTACTATGTTAACCCGACTTTTTTTTTTTGGAAACTATGACAAAAAATAAAATTCTAACTGGTCATTGAAAACACAATAACTTATAAATATCATTTAATATCTAATTGATATTATAAAGTTTATTTTTCAAAGTCTAAACAAAGTCTATTGCCATTATTTTATTAGCTGATTTTGATAAATCCAATCTTTATCGTCTCGATATTTACCCATTCGACCTAAAATGCAAAACAACTTGCAGCCCGCCGTTCTTTTTAATAAAAATCTAACAGACGACTGGCAAAAAGTTTCTGATGAAATGAAAAAAAGTAAAGGGTGGCGAGTCAGATGTACGCTATATCAATTTATGAATTATTCTTTATGGATTCCTTTGATCGTAACCCTCATATTTTCGATATTTTCAGATATTGAAGCTACGCCTGGAACTCCTGGGGTATTTAAGAAATCAGGGATCAAGATATTACAAATCTATTTACAATTAATCAATATATTTATTTAAAAGGATATCACTTTCCCAAAACCAAATATTACATTCTTGTGCTTTTCTCATGAGCATTGGGACTGTTTGAGGAATGAGAGAGAGAAAAAGATGATTATTCAAAATTTGACGGATAGGTATTTCAATTTTTTTAATTTTTTTTTAAAAAAAAATATTATTTGAAATCAAGATTTTAAAT